TGTGCTAATCTCTGGTTCACTTTTGAATTTGGTAAGTTGGTTACCAAATGTGGTGTTGAATTCAATCATCTTTTTGTAGACACTGTACATTTTACTACAGGTCCTTTTACACTGATCAATTCTTGGATCTCTGGTTGAAGGCAGCACTGTTGTTGTTGTTGGTACTGTTGTGCTAGTAATTGTAGAAGTAGGTACTTTTGTACTAGGTTCAGGTGTTGAAGGCACTATGGTACTTGGCTCAGGCGTTGAAGGCACTATTGTACTTGGTTCAGGTGTTGAAGGCACTATTGTACTTGGCTCAGGTGATGAAGGAACAATTGTACTTGGTTCAGGTGTTGAAGGAACTATTGTACTTGGTGCAGGTGTTGAAGGCACTATTGTACTAGGTGCAGGTGTTGAAGGAACAATTGTACTAGGTTCAGGTGTTGAGGGAACTATTGTACTAGGTGCAGGTGTTGAAGGAACAATTGTACTAGGTCCAGGTGTTGATGGAACTATTGTACTTTGTGCAGGTGTTGAAGGCACTATTGTACTGGGCTCAGGTGTTGAAGGAACAAGTGTACTTGGTTCTTTTGTTGATGGAACTATTGTACTTGGTGCATGTGTTGAAGGAACAATTGTACTAGGTTCAGGTGTTGAAGGAACAATTGTACTTGGTGCAGGTGTTGAAGGAACTAATGTACTCGGTACAGGTGTTGAAGGCACTAGTGTACTAGGTTCAGGTGTTGAGGGAACTATTGTACTTGGTGCAGGTGTTGAAGGCACTAATGTACTCGGTACAGGTGTTGAAGGCACTAGTGTACTAGGTTCAGGTGTTGAAGGAACTATTGTACTAGGTTCAGGTGTTGAAGGAATAGGTGTACTTGGTTCTTTTGTTGATGGAACAATTGTACTTGGTGCATGTGTTGAAGGAACAATTGTACTAGGTTCAGGTGTTGAAGGAACAATTGTACTTGGTGCAGGTGTTGAAGGAACTAATGTACTTGGTACAGGTGTTGAAGGCACTATTGTACTAGGTTCAGGTGTTGAGGGAACTATTGTACTTGGTTCACGTGTTGAAGGAACTATCGTACTTTGTTCAGGTGTTGAAGGAACTATTGTACTAGGTTTAGCTGTTGATGGAACAATTGTACTTGGTTGGGGTGGTGTTGAAGGAACAATTGTACTAGGTTCAGGTGTTGAAGGAACTATTGTACTTGGTGCAGGTGTTGAAGGCACAATTGTACTTGGTGCAGGTGTAGAAGGAACAATTGTACTTGGTTCTTTTGTTGATGGAACTATTGTACTTGGTGCAGGTGTTGAAGGTACTATTGTACTTGGTGCAGGTGTTGAAGGCACAATTGTACTTGGTGCAGGTGTAGAAGGAACAATTGTACTTGGTTCTTTTGTTGATGGAACTATTGTACTTGGTACAGGTGTTGAAGGCACTATTGTACTTGGTTCAGGTGTTGAAGGAACAATTGTACTTGGTTGAGGTGGTGTTGAAGGAACAATTGTACTAGGTTCAAGTGTTGAAGGCACTATTGTGCTTGCTGCAGGTGTTGAAGGCACTATTGTACTAGGTTCAGGTGTTGATGGCACTATTGTACTTGGTACAGGTGTTGGAGGAAGAATTGTACTAGGTTCAGGTGTTGATGGAACTATTGTACTTTGTGCAGGAGTTGAGGGCACTATTGTACTAGGTCCAGGTGTTGAAGGAATAATTGTACTAGGTTCAGGGGTTGAAGGAACTATTGTACTTGGTGCAGGTGTTGAAGGAACTATTGTACTTGGTGCAGGTGTTGAAGGAACAATTGTACTTGGAGCAAGTGTTGAAGGAACAATTGTACTAGGTTCTTGGGTTGAAGGAACTATTGTACTTGGTGCTGGTGTTGAAGGCACTATTGTACTAGGTTTAGGTGTTGATGGCACTATTGAACTTGGTGTAGGTGTTGAAGGAACAATTGTACTTGGTGCAGGTGTTGAAGGCACTATAGTACTTGGTGCAGGTGTTGAAGGAACTATTGTACTTGGTGCAGGTGTTGAAGGAACAATTGAACTTGGTGCAGGTGTTGAAGGAACAATTGTACTTGGGGCAGGTGTTGAAGGAACAATTGTACTAGATTCTGGGGTTGAAGGAACTATTGTACTTGGTGCAGGTGTTGAAGGCACTATTGTACTAGGTTTAGGTGTTGATGGCACTATTGTACTTGGTGCAGGTGTTGAAGGCACTATTGTACTTGGTGCAGGTGTTGAAGGCACTATTGTACTTGGTGCAAGTGTTGAAGGAACTAATGTACTAGGTTCAGGTGTTGATGGCACTATTGTACTTGGTACAGGTGTTGAAGGAACAATTGTACTTGGTTCAGGTGTTGATGGAACTATTGTACTTTGTGCAGGAGTTGAGGGCACTATTGTACTGGGCTCAGGTGTTGAAGGAATAATTGTACTAGGTTCAGGGGTTGAAGGAACTATTGTACTTGGTGCAGGTGTTGAAGGAACAATTGTACTTGGTGAAGGTGTTGAAGGAACAATCGTACTTGGTGCAGGTGTTGAAGGAACAATTGTACTAGGTTTTGGGGTTGAAGGAACTATTGTACTTGGTGCAGGTGTTGAAGGCACTATTGTACTTGGTACAGGTGTTGATGGCACTATTGTACTTGGTGTAGGTGTTGAAGGAACAATTGTACTTGGTGCAGGTGTTGAAGGCACTATTGTACTTGGTGCATGTGTTGAAGGCACTATTGTACTTGGTGCAAGTGTTGAAGGAACAATTGTACTTGGTGCAGGTGTTGAAGGAACAATTGTACTTGGTGCAGGTGTTGAAGGAACAATTGTACTTGGTGCAGGTGTTGAAGGAATAATTGTACTCGGTGCAGGTGTTGATGGAACAATTGTACTAGGTTCAGGGGTTGAAGGAACTATTGTGCTTGCTGCAAGTGTTGAAGGCACTATTGTACTTGGTACAAGTGTTGAAGGAACAATTGTACTAGGTTCAGGTGTTGAAGGAACAATTGTACTTGGTGCAGGTGTTGAAGGAACAATTGTACTTGGTGCAAGTGTTGAAGGAACAATTGTACTTGGTACAGGTGTCGAAGGAACTATTGTACTTGGTGCAAGTGTTGAAGGAACAATTGTACTTGGTTGAGGTGGTGTTGAAGGAACAATTGTACTTGGTGCAGGTGTTGAAGGAACAATTGTACTAGATTCAGCTGTTGATGGAACAATTGTACTTGGTGCATGTGTTGAAGGAACAATTGTACTAGGTTCAGCTGTTGAAGGAACTATTGTACTTGGGGCAAGTGTTGAGGGAACAATTGTACTTGGTGCAAGTGTTGAAGGAACAATTGTACTGGGTTCAGCTGTTGAAGGAACTATTGTACTTGGTGCAAGTGTTGAAGGAACAATTGTACTTGGTTCAGGTGTTGAAGGAACAATTGTACTAGGTTCAGCTGTTGAAGGAACTATTGTACTTGGTGCAGGTGTCGAAGGCACTATTGTACTTGGTGCAGGTGTTGATGGAACTATTGTACTAGGTTCAGGGGTTGAAGGAACTACTGTACTTGGTTCAGGGGTGGAAGGAACTATTGTACTTGGTGCAGGTGTTGAAGGGACAATTGTACTTGGTGCAGGAGTTGATGGAACAATTGAACTTGGTGCAGGTGTAGAAGGAACAATTGTACTTGGTTCTTTTGTTGATGGAACTATTGTACTTGGTGCAGGTGTTGAAGGTACTATTGTACTTGGTGCAGGTGTTGAAGGCACAATTGTACTTGGTGCAGGTGTAGAAGGAACAATTGTACTTGGTTCTTTTGTTGATGGAACTATTGTACTTGGTACAGGTGTTGAAGGCACTATTGTACTTGGTTCAGGTGTTGAAGGAACAATTGTACTTGGTTGAGGTGGTGTTGAAGGAACAATTGTACTAGGTACAAGTGTTGAAGGCACTATTGTGCTTGCTGCAGGTGTTGAAGGCACTATTGTACTAGGTTCAGGTGTTGATGGCACTATTGTACTTGGTACAGGTGTTGGAGGAAGAATTGTACTAGGTTCAGGTGTTGATGGAACTATTGTACTTTGTGCAGGAGTTGAGGGCACTATTGTACTAGGTCCAGGTGTTGAAGGAATAATTGTACTAGGTTCAGGGGTTGAAGGAACTATTGTACTTGGTGCAGGTGTTGAAGGAACTATTGTACTTGGTGCAGGTGTTGAAGGAACAATTGTACTTGGTACAGGAGTTGAAGGAACAATTGTACTTGGTTCAGGGGTTGAAGGAACTATTGTACTTGGTACTGGTGTTGAAGGCACTATTGTACTTGGTCCAGGTGTTGAAGGAACTATTGTACTTGGTGCAAGTGTTGAAGGAACAATTGTACTTGGTACTGGTGTTGAAGGAACTATTGTACTTGGTGCTGGTGTTGAAGGAACTATTGTACTTGGTGCTGGTGTTGAAGGAACTATTGTACTTGGTACAGGTGTTGAAGGCACTATTGTACTTGGTTCAGGTGTTGAAGGAACTATTGTACTTGGTACAAGTGTTGAAGGGACTATTGTTGATCCTGGTCCAGGTGTTGAAGGAACTATTGTACTTGGTGCTGGTGTTGAAGGCACTATTGTACTTGGTGCTGGTCTTGAAGGCACTATTGTACTTGGTGCTGGTGTTGAAGGAACTATTGTTGTACCTGGTCCAGGTTTTGAAGGAACTATTGTACTTGGGGCAGGTGTTGAAGGAACAATTGTACTAGATTCTGGGGTTGAAGGAACTATTGTACTTGGTGCAGGTGTTGAAGGCACTATTGTACTTGGTGCTGGTGTTGAAGGCACTATTGTACTTGGTGCTGGTCTTGATGACAATTGTGTGCTGGGCTGAGGTGACTTTGATTGGACCTTTGTACTAGGATTACCTGGAGTTGATGATGTCTTTGAGGTTTGTTGACCTGGTGTTGTTTTTTCATAAACAGAAGTGGCATCTGTGTCAAAATTAGGTTGTCCACTGACTGGTGTTGTGAAACCTTCTCTTTTTATTGTGGCGAATGAGCTTCCCCGACTTGCTCTTGTAGGGACCACTGTACTAGGTTGTCCATTGACTGGTGTTGTGAAACCTTCTCTTATTATTGTGGCGAATGAGCTTCCCTGACTTGCTCTTGTATTGACCACTGTAATAGGTGGTATTATTGTGGCTACTTTTGTACTAGGTGTACCTTTTTCATATGTTGTCGAAGGATAATTTGTTGAGGGTTCCATTGTACTAGACACAATTTCATCACCTCGAATTGTTGAAGGTACCATTGTACTAGACACAATTTCTTCACCTCTAATTGTTGAGGGTACCATTGTACTAGACACAATTTCATCACCTGTTGTTATGGGTTCCTTTGTTGTAGGCTGACCATTCGTACTTGTTTGAACTGCTGTGGAAGGCTTGATTGAGCTTGGCCATCCTGGTGTTGTAGGTGGTTTGGCACTAGTTTGACTTGCTGTTGAAGGATTGGCAGAGCTGGGCCATCCTGGTGTTGATGGTGCTAGTGTAGTAAAGGAGAACGGTGTTGTCCATGGTACCCAAGTTGTTTTTGTCTGACTTGTGATGGGTCCAATACAGAGGACCAAGATTAACACACTAGAACTGACACATTTCATCTGAAATGAGAAAAGTGTAATTAAAAAAAAATATAAATTCATCCTCAAGCCTTATTGTAAATGAAATAAATTTTTCAGGTAATGATGCAATTCAAGTGTTTAATTTCATATATACGAGGGTTGTCCCAGAAGTAATGCACTATATGCTCTAACTTTCTTTAATATTCTTCAATTCAGCTGAAATTTTGTGTAGATAACAACTTAAGTTTTATCTATTACATCCTGAAGTTTCAGCATCCAACATTAATATTAAGTCTTTATATGGTTGCTATAACAACATGGGGGTAGGGGTGGGCGGGGCAGGTACCAATTTTTCTAATTATGAAAAGATCTTAAGTGTTATTTTATTTATATTTCTTTCCTCTAAATGGTCAAAATGTTTGGGAAATTTATTCAGCATGATGTAAACCAAGTACGAATAATGACATTTAACACTGTGATGTCATAATACCACATTTCAATAGTCACGAATTCAAATACAGTCACGGTCAAGAAATTGCAAAAATGGCTGCAATTCTCACCTGATAACAGAAGGCCTTGCGTTTGGTGGCCTAATTCCATACTTCACTTGGACTCACAGCCACGCAAAACAATGCTACCATGAAGAAAGTATATAAGGAGTTCTATGTAAGTTCATCTCTCTGGTTAATATATCAGAAACAAGTCAAATTCTTTACTTCAGAGAATATTTTTAATTTATTGAGACTTTCGACTAATATCCCTTAGTCTTTTTCAAAATATAACAGCATGTATACATTTAAAAATATTCTCTGAAGTAAAGAATTTGACTTGTTTCTGATATATAAGGAGTATATACCAGATAGAACTTCAATTATGGGGTGGCAGAAGAGATGTAAAAGAGACGATTTGACCCTGTATGACAACTCCAAACATGGGAGGCAAAAACTCCACAAGTCACAGTGGAAGAAATTGCCGAGGGAGTTTGACCTGACAGGCATCAAAAGTACATACTATGCAAAGGGCAATATTTTGAGAAAATGTGAAATGGGACACTGTGCAATATACATCCATTAAATCTAGGATGTGCTCATAGTAATTTAGTATCTTAAAATGTATTTTTGAGCATACTTCTTATAGCTACACCAAATGGTATTTGTTGATTGATTATTTCATATTTTCAATTTTTTATTTCTTTTGACGTGACTGTATAACCTGCCCCGCCCTACCCAAACTCACCAACTTGATTTTATTATAACATCAATATAGTTTTATCAGTCAACATGAAAGTTTGTAGAATAATCAAAATGTCTCTAAGGAACATTTACTGAAAATTTCATGGAAAAATATCAATTATTGATAAAGTTAGAGCATATAGTGCATTACTTCTGGGACAACCCTCGTATAGTTTATCTGATGAACATACATATAAAAAAATATTGAATTTTTTTTTATTATTATTATTATTTTTTTTTATTGAAGTGACACCTATTGTACAAAATAGCCAGCCCAAACTGGGCTTATGAGACACATTAAACATTTAATTATTAAATATATGCGATTCTTTCTCATATTAAAAATACAGCTCAAATAGTTTGCAAATTTTTTAACAATACTCTTAGTTTTAAATATATTTATAAATGATTCAATATTTGGTGTTAAAATGAAAGTCTCTCTCCTCCATTTTGATAAATCCGTTCCAAAGGCGTAATATTTCGAGTTTGCGTGTGTAATTTTTTGGTAGTCGACCCTGTATCACCATACATCACAGGTATAGAACAAAATTCATGGACTCCCAAATAAGCCCTTATAGATTACTCAAACAATTTGTATAGTTTTATTTTTTTTATTTTGTATGTCCTTTTGCATGTGTTCAAAACCCAATCATAGGTTGATCAAAATTAAATTTTTTACCATCTATATCAAAAGTCTTTCTGAACCGAGTACAATAGTTTTACTCAAAATATTACATATATAACATAGAATATACCTAAAATGTGATGTTAAATTACTTAAGATTACCACACTGAGCAAAATCAGGCTACTCTTGGGCAAAAGTCTTGATACTACAAAATGCTGATTATGAGCAATCTGAATACATTACAGAATTTACAAATGATCCAGTGTTCATGACAGTTGTATATTTCATAATATAAAGATGTCACTGAAAACTGTGTACTAGTACTAGCAATGCAAAAGTCCCTACACTTGGGTCTTATAACAATGTTGCATTACTATTCGGTGTTATGTTATATTTCCTTAATTCTTACCCCTTACCTGCCCAATCACATCAATTAGTATAATGTTGAGACTAATGTGTTAATTTGATTTTCTCGTGGGTTTATCTTCTCGATATGTGTGATGTAATTTTGGTATTTATTCAAATGAATCTATCATATTTCCATTTTATTGCAGTAATTCTGAATCATAATGCATCGACATGATATATTAATGTGGTATTGCTTATTGTTATGACATATTTCTGAATTCCTCAAATAATTTTGGGCAAAAAAGGCTTTAGCATAGTATAACATGGTTTAGGGCTTTTAGTAAAATGTATGTAGACATTCAGAGTATATATTTGCATAATTTTACAGAGCAACCTGATTTTGGTCAGTTTGTCAATTTAAAAGTTTCAGTTGAGATTGTTATATTATACTAGCTTGTTTCATTGTTACAAACATCTGCAATAGTGGATGGAACCACCTTTTTTACTTTTTACTTTGATTTAAAAGTTATCATAATTTTGTTTGGGATGATATTATTGATATACATAATATGGAATCTTGTTATTGATTATCCAAGGGGGGGGTTGTTCAAGGAGAACGGGCAAACCCTTTTCCCTGGCCAAGTATTATCTCAAAATCATGCAGTTTTTCGCCATTTTGATCAGTTTTGCTTGGTTTTGGGCAAAAATTGTCTGATGTGAGCTTTCCCCTGGAATTTTTTAGAAAGTGAACCCCCCGGCAAGTATTTTTGTTTGAAAAATGTTATCCAATGTTGACCAATTTTATCTGCTTTTTTCACCAACTTAATGAAAAGTTTTTTTTTCAAAACATTGGGAATCTTGAATAAAAATTAAATGTTCGGTTTACCTCATAAAATGATGTTCCCTGGGATGAGTATATATATAGAAGTGTGTAATATGTTTAGTATGCCATCTTTCTGAAAAGCCCAAGAGTTCTGACTTCTTACACTAGAAATGATTTGGTTTTGAGGTTATATGACAAAAATGACATCCTTATTTTAATGAATTTTGACAATCACTCATCTCTAAATTCAGTAACTTAATTTCCTGATGAGATACTAGGTTTTTTTCCTATTCTTTTTTATAATTTATTTCAAGATTTAGAATATAATAGAATATAATAGAATAAAATAATTAGGAGGCCCCATCGGGGGGCCTCCTATAGATTTTATTTAATTAAAAAAATTAATTACATGAAAAAAACATCCCAATTACAGTACTTTACTTTTTTCTACAAGGTAATAATATTTGAATGTTCATGTAAGATTTATTTCAACATTTCACAATTGATATCCTTTAGAACTACATGTATATGCTTTAAATCTAAATTCTAAACAAATTTAAATTTGAATAATAAACAACAGTGATAATTCAAAAATAATTTAACATTAATAATGAATTTCTAATACTGGCAATATTTAATTAGACTAATATTATTAACAATATTTTTAGAGTATGTTGTTATTAAATGAAGAAGTGATTAAAACTACTAATCTATGCGCATGGATGACATAGTTATAAAAAATGACAAACCTTTTACTGTCTTTATCGCTTCATGCTCTGCGAATGATCCGCAAACTGCACCAGCGTCTCCCAAACCTGCATCTGATCTCGGATGAACTATGACAACACTTTAAACTAAATTTAAACAATTTAATTGTCAAACTGAAAATGCTCTTACAAAAAACATTATCGCTCTTGGCTTCTGTCTCATTTTTTATAAACACAGTAGTGTGTAATGAAATTGAAAATATTCAAATTGAATTTGTCTGTAAATTGTAAATTTATGTAATACTAAGATAATTGGGATAAATGAGAACAGAGAGGAATTGAGTGAAATTTTATGTTAAGTACTAGATTCTTTGAAGTGTATCAATTCATTATTTTGACAATACTAATGTATGTTTACTTGACAAGATCTCATTTGAATATGTAGATTTTAAAATTTGACAATATTGTTTATGTTTGAATTGTTTCTTAATGTTCACTAATTTATCAGTATGGTTTGTAAATCATTAAATTTGAATTGAGAGATTGATTTGTAATTAATACACAAAAGTTAAAAAACAGAAATCTTAATGACGATCGAGAGTCACATTAATTTATAAATCAATACATGTAACTGTTGAAATAGAGTAAAACTTGTGTAGGTACATCCTCCTAAGCAGGTGTCCATAATCCGTACCTCCTTCTTCCCCCTGCTATTACCAATTTGGAAGTGCCCGATTTAACTGAATTACCTGATATAATTAATCTTAAATGGTAACTGCTTATCGCAGGGGGTAAAAAGAAAGAATATATTCTGGATTTTGAAGCCCTGTGATCGGAGGATGGTGTAAGTAGAAGATTTTGGATAACATTCAAAAGTTACTTACAACTTTCTTACAGAGGTTCATTTAACATTGAGTCAATTTGTCATGTGACTTTTAAAAGTGTTCAGCTTTCTGAAGTTTTCTATAACAAAAGTGTTCCACTTAACACATTTTACTGTAGTTAATTATTTTAACTCCTTTGTAATACTTTTCCATGATAAATGTTGTCCTTTGTGCAATGTTTGAGTGCTAATGTATACCTAATTATATCACCACTAAAAAAATGGTGAAATATTGTTATGGTCTCTATTTTTTGTGACGGCATGCTGAAATGTGTAATAACTGATATTATTATATCACTATCTAGCTAGCGAAAGTATGATTGGTCAAAACCGGGTCACATGTCGTGGGATATCTGGCGATATTCAATGGCAATGTTAATCAGATAAGACAACCGTGAGATATCTAGCGATATCCCACGCTCCCGGGAATTTTCAAAGAATTTGTTTTCGTTCAGTGTAAATAATTTAGTTCAGTGTAAGTCAAAATGGCAGATGAACCGAGTAGATTCAATGTATTTCAATGTTAACCTATGACTTAATAATATTAGGGATGTTTAACTAGACAGTGATATAATAAAACAAATATTTCACTCTATTTTCGGTGAATACCTGTAGCACTTTCACAAGGTGATATTCCACTTGCCCTTCGGGCTTCGTGGAATATCACTTGTGAAAGATGTACAGGTATTCACCTCAATAGAGTGAAATATTTGTTCAGTATTAAATCTGTAAAGTTGAACCTGTCTATGTATACACACCCCAGTTTTCCATTTCTGCAAAGCAAGTACAAAATTTGCATAGGCCTATATATTTGCAGAATATTGAACTTTGATCAATTTCTTCTGGTAATTAATTTTGTGGAATAATCAGCATTTTCTCTCATTCAACAGCTATATTTTCATTAGTTCACCCAAAATCAAATACTTCTACTCTGATAATATCAATTTAAATGGAAAGCATAATAATATGGTAATATTTATTCATCTAATACAGCATTTACAGCAATAAAACATACAGCATGGTATGCCCTTAAGAAGAAAATGATTTAATATGCATGGAAAGGGGGTACTCTTACTTAATTCTTTAATCCTCTCATATGTGATGTGGAAAAATAAAGTAAAAACAATAACATTATATCCGCCATTCTCCCCACTCATCCACAGCAGGAAATATATGGTGAAATGATATGAAATAAAGATGAGAGTTATTTCATTTAGCCACATTACTCAACTGTCCTCCACATTTTTCCCTCTGGTAAAAGTGAGTAAAAACAAGAGTACAGTCTTATTTTTTATGTCACCGCCAAAAAGTTGCGACATATTGTTACGGTCTCCGTTTATTTGACGGCAGTTGGCTGTCTGTAACAAATTCTTACAACTTCCAATAACTTTACAAATACTGTTTAGACTGATAAGTTTTCAGAAGTTCAAATCTGACTTAAGATTTGACCTTCAATGACCTTTACAAGGTCAAAAAGGTTTTTTTTAATTTGCTTCAAATTGACCAATTTTTTTTCAAAAGCATCTACAAGTTCTCAGAAATTGATATCTGACTTTAGATGTGAGATTTGACCTTCAATGACCTTCTCAGGGTAAAAAGGTCAAAAGGTATTTTTTCACCTTGCTCGAAATTGACCAATTTTTCTTTTCAAAATCATCTAAATTGACATGACTTCTACAGTGATCATCAATTTGGCATGTTTTATATATGTTTAACCTTTTAGCAAAATCTGGTACATAGAACCATATTACATGAGACTTGTGCTTACATTTAACTTTTGATTACTCTAATATTGTGTGAAACTAGGTGGTGGTGACATTTTGTAATGATAACGCCTTGTTACTTTATTATTTCCCACCACACGTGGGAGGATCAAAGAACAAATGTGAAAAAATAACAACATATAAAAACGTGATTTGTTCCTAATTAAGGGCAGTCATCACAGTAGCAAAATACATTACTTAACCCAAAGGTTTCATTCAAACCTTGATAACAGGCAAAATGCACGAAAGCAAAACAGTCAAAATATTTTGAAAAAATAATATTATGCTACATGGAAACTATGAAATAACTGCAAAGTTTACAAAACAACAGGTTAGTATTTGTGAAAACAGAAGGCCTGTAGCCAGGATTTGCCAAGGGGGTTCAGTTTTCAAAAATTTCCAGGGAGGTTCGTATTTGACAATTTTGGCCCAAATATGGCTAAAATCACTTGAGAAGTGCTCAAAATGGTGAAAAACTGCATGATTTTGAAAGAAATTTTGGCCAGGGAAACACCCCCCCCCCCCTTGTTACGGGCCTGAACAGTCACTTGAATTGTTGCCATTTCAAGCACCTTTCTTGTGAATTTGAACCCACACTGAATTGTTTTAAAAACTGAACCCCATGTGAATCCCCCTCCTTGTCAAAAGCTGGCTAATGGCCTAAACTCCTCTACATTTGTTATATCCTTAAATACTTACAAAAAATGTATCCAAGTGTGTCTTGGATAAAAGGTAGAGAAAAACAGGTCAGTCAAGAGAGGGAACAGGGATTGGGAGAATTTCCAAGCAATATAAGTCAGTCTTATCTGTTCTGTCTTCACACCGGAATAGCTTGACTACGGTAAAGTCAGATACCGTTTTCACAAATGGTGAACATAACCGTCGCTTCAATAAGATTTTCATCTAATTATATATTATTATCTAATAATATCTGACTTTACCGTTGTCAGGCTATTCCGGGGTGGTCTTGTCCAATGAGATTTTCTTAGATGACTGTTCCCCCTTTTGGCACCCCCCTCATACAAATAAACTGTATGTTGTTATATATATACAGGTACAAGATATGCATGCAGCATACAACCATGAAGTGTTTTACATTGATAAAGATGGGCAAACAACAATACAGACCAAGACAGTGCCCCAACAGTGGCAGACCAACCAACTCATAGTAAGGATTTAAATTTATGTCTCATGTTTCAGATAAATTCTTCATCTTATACATATATAAATTATCCAAAAAACTACTGGAAAATCTTTATTTCTTAATGTTTTTATCTGTAAGGTATTACAAGCATGTTATTTCCAGGTCCAACTTGGGTTATCATTGTCAAATCAATATTTACTTATTTTTGTTTTGGAAATACAGAAATACTGTTCCCTATATATCTAATGATTACATACGTATATGTCTTTCTTTTAAATTAAAATACCTGTCTTGAGATTGGGCAAGGCAAAATTAAAGGCAGAATCAGATCGATGGGGGTGACAAAATTACAAGCAACATGTACAATAATTGGCCTACCAATCTATTCCTTACAATCTCAAATCCAATATCTCCCTAAAGATTCATGATATGTTATAAATTGGTGAAGTTATAATGGATTCAAAGTGCAGATATGGGTGAAAATGTTTAAATTCTCCCAAATGATAAGAGTGGTATAGAAAAATAATACATTATTGTAAAAATCTTTAATTTTCCTGAAATAAAGTGTGCACTTAGGGGATCTTTAGACAAAAGACATGAAAAGGAATGACATAAGCCAGAAATATTTCAAAATTGAAATAATTTTTTGTGAGGCTGCTTGCTAGATCTGACTCTCTCTTTAATTAACTCTGAGTTTGTAAAACAATACTATAATAGTGTTGCTTCCATCTGCCATCGTTTGAGTCCAGATTGAATATTCTTTTATTTTGACCAAATATTTCACTGGGCTTCCTGAATATCTCAAGTCTCTGAGGCGCATTCCAACTTTATATAATTAAATTTTCTTCTGAATGCACATTATACACAATGTAAAAATATCAAGTTTTCTAATTGTCCAGAACTATAAAAGATGTACATGTCATGGATAAGCTTTTGTATAAGCTATTTATGATAGCCATCAATACAGTTGGCATATTTACACTCGATCATTCTAAGACAGCTTGACCAAGAGCCCTTACAAAAAATTCTGGTGAGCTTTCACAATTATTCTCAAGACGTCTTACAAGATATCATGTGCTCAGCGCCAAAAGGATGTTAAGTGAATACAAAATTCCACTAAGATACATGAACATCCTTTTTGGCGCTGAGCATGTGATATATTTGAGTTTACAACTAATTTTCTAAGACGTCTTAGAAAATGAGCTGTGACTGAGGTGGCTTCCCACTTTTCTTTTTTTACTACAAAATATATTGGGTCTTTTAAGAATATTTTTAAAAAATGGATATCCACATTGATATTATTAGCTCACATTGTGAGCTTTTGCAATCACTCACTTGTCCATCCGTCTGTCTATTTGCCTGTCTGTAAACAATAGTGGCATGTTTTGAAACCTCTGTCGATAAGATTCCTGTTTTAAGTTATTTTTGTTCAACATCATTTATGATGCAATAATTGAATAAAATAGTACCCAGTTGACAATAACCTAAGTACAATCATAGAAACAGAATTGTGCACATCCATTTTTAAAAAATATTCTTGATAAACTGGTAGAATAATTGGTGAGACGTTGAAAATAAATTATATTAGTCTTTGAAGTAAATGAACTTGAGGTAATTAATGCACTACCAGAAACTGAGATGAATTTAAATATAAATTATATTTAATTGAATTGAATTGATGTCATTGATTTAATAAAATTATGAATGGGTTTAAAATCATTTTATGAAAAGACTAGTCTCCAAATTGAAACTTGTCTTTTATTTAATCAGTCTTCTGCACATTACGCCTGCCTCGGACAATTTTTATATTTTCACCTATTGTAGATTTCTTATGAATATTCATAATTTATTTGAGTGTTATTTTGACATTTAATGTCCTGAAAAATTATTAGCCCAGTAAATTGTTCTCCAAACTGTCCGGTACATGCATTATACAGGGTGTTCACTAAGTAATGACATTAGGTCTCCCATTTCTACAGTCTTTAACCAATCGTTCTAAATCTGAACATATCATCTGGCATGTAATAATGAGGGCACATACTAAATTTCATGTCTCAAGAATGAAAATAGTTAATTTTATCATTTATATTTTGATTTGATAACATGGTCCTTGACATAGCACATATCACATCACATTTTACATCAATTAGGAATCTTTAATCCCTAGCATATCCCTTCTGCAAATGATATAATATTTATCATGTATTTATTTTCCACTCTTGGTCCATGCCCAGTGGATACGATATTCACTTTAATAAAAGTAATTTGTATTTTCTTTAATGCATTTTTATTGTTGTTTAGCCACCCATTTTTGGAAGACATTTGTTTGGCCAATCTTATCTCATTTCAACCTGGCTGCCCTTACAGTTTTCTCACTGGAATGAAACTTCTGACTCTTTAGGAGACCAACAGTAAAAAAAATGTAGTTCAAGTTCATTTGGTGAATAATGAGCAAGGTCTACATTTTTAAATCATAGATTACTCTGCAATCTGTTCATTCTCTATGGACTACATTGCAGTATGACAAGGATGTTTCTGCGATGCAGCCAGTTTCCTATTTCCACAAAATTTGTTTTCCGATGACATTTTGAACTTTGGCAGACTTTCCAACCCATGGAGATCCCAGACTATTACAATGTCTTTTAACCAGGACTATTATTAGGCTATATGTTGCCATACTATGAATGTAACTACTATATAGACATATATTAAATAACCAACTGGCATAAGTTTAATGGAGATTTCATAGCTCAAAATCATGTGACCCCAATCATATTATGCTTCGTTTCATGAAAATTGAGTAGAAACTGAAGTCTGTGTCAACGCAACGCACCTGTCGTCAAGTTGCTATGGCAACCATTATTTCATTGTTTTGAGGTTATGAGCTTTAAGACTTCAAATAAAATCACAATTACAATAAGACATGCTGAAAATTTAAGTAAGATTTCTTAAAATCTGACAAAATGGGAGAACTAGTGTCGTTACTTAGTGAACACCCTGTATATTTAAAATAATGTGATAGTACCTCTAATGAAATGCTCTCCAGTATATGTTTAATTTAGTGCTCTAGTGTTTAGACAAGCCTAAATGATATACATGGTGGACCTTTTGCTTAATGATGCAGAAATATATATATTATTTTGATTTACTTTGACAGATAGGTACAATTTATATTAATGACTCTCTTTTTCATGATCATGTTACGCTACTATTTTCTTTGTTATTTGGAACTATTTATCATTTATTATCTATATTATGTCCCTTGGGCTTCTGGTCTTGGATTGTGATAATGGTTCTTGAATGGTGGGGGGAAAGGGGGTATTAGACATTGTTTCTTTTCACGTTAGATCATGGTTTTGGGATATATGGGGTTTGTTTTTCTTGACTGGTATGCTCTTAGAGTTTGCTTTTTCTTGCTAAGTTCTATTACAACTTTTGGTCCTTTTCCTTTGGCACTAGTGCTTATATATTGTAATTTGAAACATCAAAAATTGCCCTGATCGTGAACCTGAACAACCAGCCAGGTATTATACTCACCAGTGGCCTATAAGCCTCTTTGATGTGCTTAACAAGATTGTAATATCAAGTTTTCATCACAATAATTCTTTAACAAACTCATCTCTTTGTAACTTACACTGGCCAATAATATTGGAAATTGCAATTTCAGATGTACATGTACCCTAGAATCCATTATTTACCACCTTTTGTGATAGTGCCTCACATAATTGAATATAGTATTTCAATACAGGCTTTAACATAAATCATATAATATTATGATAAATTATCTTATGTACATGAATTTGCAAAGAACAAACACCATTGAGATTAAAGTATACACTAGCTCCACAAGAGACACTGCTGACATGCCAGCATACATCCCAATAATACCCCCAAAGTCAGACAACCACTTGTTAAATGGGTAACTTGGCTCTTCCGCAATTGTATTGACAGTCAAGGACTGATAGTATATGTTAACTTTCAAGAAGTTTGTCTCAATGATCTTGTTAAGAACTGGGTATTTTCTAATGGTTGGAAATCTATATCCATACGAATAATCATTTATGCAGTCTATATATTGCGAACCATCTGCCCAGAACTGAGGAGGCTCCATATAATAATCATGATAAGATTTCATCTGAGGATTTGCACACAGTACTCCTCCTTTATCAATTTCCCAAAACCAACTGTTCCTATGATTTTCATCTAGTAGTTGGGCAATTTTCGGTTGTCTCCTCAAGAATTTGATAAAGTTTCTGCGATTGATACCTTTGTAGTATTTTTCATTCGGCCATGGTACTGCATGTATTAGTGGGGTATAGTCTATACTATTACACTGCCTTTTACACCCACAGGTTTTCTCGCCTAATGAAAACATTTTTTTCACATCTCTTTCACAATTGATAATATGCAGCATTTCTTTGAAATTATCTTCAATTGACTCATGCATATACTCATACTTTCTAATAATACTTGTCCATAAGATACCCATTATCTTGGTATAACAGAACAAGGTTACTGTTGCAGTTTTATTTGGAGGAATTGGTGCCAAGCGAGTCATACATCCACAGGTTTCTATCATGTATTTTTGCAGACACTGCTTGAGGCACAAATCTATTGTGTATATGAATGATGTGTTCTTCTTGTAGTCTTCATTGGTACAATGTCCATATGGTGGCTCAAGCAAAGTACGAACATCTTGTGAAAGACCAATTGTTGTGAATTTTCCTGGTGAAAGGTCTATGCCTTCATTGTCAAGATCAGGCAGTGTGCCATGGGAATGAATTCCCAATCTTATTCCATCACTTGCTTTGGAATATTTACTAGAAAATAGATTTGGCGTATTTAACATAACATCACGGTTCTTACTTCGAAATTCGTCTAATGGAGAATAATCATTGAGAAATAAAATAAGTGTTAATCCAGAGTCTGGCCCTATTTCTCTCACCATATATCTTTCAGTGATGTTAGATTTAAATGTGTAACAGTTGCCATAATTATCGAGGGATATTGTGGTAAAATCACTTTCATTGCATATTTCTCCATTGAAGCGGCATGCTAGAAATATATCGCTGTATGTCTTGAGATGATATAAGTCACGTTGATTATCCAAGAATTTCTCATAGGTCCTTATTCTGTTCAGAACTGGTTCAAGTAAATGTTGCCTTGAGGTTTCATTTATTTCTCTATGAAAACTATCAATATAGCTTTCGAATATTATGTCACTTATATCACTCAAAACAACATTTTGATTCTTGTCAAAAATAACAGGCACTATAGGACACAGGGTAACTGAAGGAAATGTAATGACTTCCTCTCTGTTGTACAGAGAATCTTCAGTTGGGAAACTGAGGAATCTGGTGGTAATTTCTGTGACCTTTATGACTATAATACTTAAAACACCTAATGCTATCAAGAACCAAACCATCCTTCCAACCACAGATTTGGCATTGCGTATCTGGAGGAGAGAATGGATAGATGTTATGTTCGCAAATTCAGATAGTATGTTCTTGAGCCTGTTATACATCTCTAATAGGCCAATTGTAATTGGCTTGCCTTTATTTGTTTCTGGATCTTTAGCTACATCAACACTGCCTACCATTTCTTTATCTCTCTCATTCCTTGTATTGTTCTCATCAATTGTGACTTGGTTTGTAATTTCTTTTGTGTCATCTTGATGTTCAACACTGATTATATTTGGTACATCTTCATCACTCTCAATGGTTTCACACCTTCTGCCATTCTCTTCAATTGTTACTGGATTTGTATTTGCTTTTGTATCATTTGGTACTTCAGCATTTGCTTTTCGTCTTTCATTATTGATTTCAATTACGTCTGCAAATATGTGTGCTGGAACAGTGTCTGGCTGAGCATTTTGACACACCTGAAGTTTGCACAGAGAAATATTATTATTTCAGTGAATGAATTTTAAGTACAGATATAGAGAACTTGTCTGTCTATCCATCCATCTGCCTGTTCTTCTGTCAGGGAAAACAAATACCAGATAGCTTTTTATGTCACCACCAAAAGTGGTGACATATTGTTATGGTCTCCGTTTTTTTGCGACGGCGGTTGGTGGTTGGCATCCGGCGGTTGGTGGTTGGCGTCCGGCGTCTGTAACAATTTCTTACAACTTCCTATAACTTAACAAATACTGTTTAGACTGACTTCAATTTTTTTCTAAATCATCTACATGTTCTCAGAAGTTCAAATCTGACTTTAGATTTGGCATTTGACCTTCAATGACCTTCTCAAGGTCAAAAAGGTCTTTTTTCAACTTTCTTCACATTGACTAATTTTTTTTTCAAAATCATCTACATGTTCTCAGAAATTCAAATCTGACTTTACATTTGACATTTGACCTTCAAATCTGACTTTAGATTTGACATTTGACCTTCAATGACCTTCTCAAGGTCAAAAAAGGTCAAAAAGGTCTGTTTTCAACTTGCTTCAAATTGACTAAATTTTTTTTTCAAAATCATCTACGTGTTCTCAGAAATTCAAATCTGACTTAAGATTTGACATTTGACCTTCAATGACCTTCTCAAGGTCAAAAAAGGTCAAAAAGGTCTGTTTTCAACTTGCTTCAAATTGACTAAAAAAATTTTTCAATATCATCTACGTGTTCTCAGAAATTCAAATCTGACTTTAGATTTGACTTAAGATTTGACCTTCAATGACCTTCTCAAAGTCAAAAAAGGTCAAAAAGGTCTTTTTTCAACTTGCTTCAAATTGACTAATTTTTTTTTTCAAAATCATCTACATGTTCTCAGAAATTCACATCTGACTTTAGATTTGACATTTGACCTTCAATGACCTTCTCAAGGTCAAAAAAGGTCAAAAAGGTCTGTTTTCAACTTGCTTCAAATTGACTAAATTTTTTTTTCAAAATCATCTACGTGTTCTCAGAAATTCAAATCTGACTTAAGATTTGACTTAAGATTTGACATTTGACCTTCAATGACCTTCTCAAGGTCAAAAAAGGTCAAAAAGGTCTGTTTTCAACTTGCTTCAAATTGACTAAAAAAAATTTTCAAAATCATCTATGTGTTCTCAGAAATTCAAATCTGACTTTAGATTTGACTTAAGATTTGACATTTGACCTTCAATGACCTTCTCAAAGTCAAAAAAGGTCAAAAAGGTCTTTTTTCAACTTGCTTCAAATTGACTAAATTTTTTTTTCAAAATCATTTACATGTTCTCAGAAATTCAAATCTGACTTTAGATTTGACATTTGACCTTCAATGACCTTCTCAATGTCAAAAAAGGTCAAAAAGGTATTTTTTCATCTTGCTTCAAATTGACTAAATTTTTTTTCAAAATCATCTACATGTTCTCAGAAATTCAAATCTGACTTTAGATTTGACATTTGACCTTCAATGACCTTCTCAAGGTCAAAAAAGGTCAAAAAAGGTCAAAAAGGTCTTTTTTCAACTTGCTTCAAATTGACTAATTTTTTTTCAAAATCATCTACATGTTCTCAGAAATTCAAATCTGACTTTAGATTTGACATTTGACCTTTAATGACCTTCTCAAGGTCAAAAAATGTCAAAAAGGTCTGTTTTCAACTTGCTTCATATTGACTAAAAAAAATTTTCAAAATCATCTATGTGTTCTCAGAAATTCAAATCTGACTTTAGATTTGACTTAAGATTTGACATTTGACCTTCAATGACCTTCTCAAAGTCAAAAAAGGTCAAAAAGGTCTTTTTTCAACTTGCTTCAAATTGACTAATTTTTTTTTCAAAATCATCTACATGTTCTCAGAAATTCAAATCTGACTTTAGATTTGACATTTGACCTTTAATGACCTTTTCAAGGTCAAAAAAGGTCAAAAAGGTCTGTTTTCAACTTGCTTCAAATTGACCAAATTTTTTTTTCAAAATCATCTACATCTTTTCAGAAGTTCAAATTTGACTTTACAAGTTCTCAGAAATTCAAATCTGACTTAAGTTTGAACTCATAATATTGTGAGCAACTAGGTGGTGACATTTTGTCATGTTAATGCCTTGTGTTCAATTCTGATGTAATATTGTTTCTGGTAGTATCATTTGTCAAATTGCAGTTTCAGTACAGATTCGAGTGGGAAAAGATGGTTTGAAACATACTCGAGATAAATGTAAAGGTTGCAATTTCAAGAGAACCTGGTAATAGACTAATGCCAAGAACATGAGAAATACACCACACTATATACACAATGATCTCAATATATTCAATAGATGTTTGCTTCAAAATCAGGTGAAAATTGATAGAGTCAGAATTTTTTGTGAACATAAATTGCAACCTTTGAAACATTTGAGATATAATTCATACTATTTGGCTTGCTCCTATCTCAGTGCAATGTGTCTAATACATCATAATTGAAATGAGTGCTTATTTAATGAATGGAACTATGTTTTCAAATTGAATAGTATTAACTTATACATACAAAATGAAATCTTTCAAAATAGATTTCACTTCATATGCCTGAATTTTAATTTTTTTCTATGTCTTGACATGATAGATGTAAATAAATAAATTTTGCATGATTTCGCGTGATTTTATCATTCCTTTTGATTTTGTGGGACCATCTTTTTCTGCAACTGCCTATTGAGAAACATTTCCCGGCATATTAGTCTACTGGTAAAGTGCCATTTTCGGAGACAATCTCCCAATGCTTAGTACATTTTATTTTGCATTTTCTCTTTATACAAGATGTTCACATGCAAAAACTCAGATGATACAACATCCAAGTATTATTGGTCATTCTCCATTGGATAACCCCCCCCCCATTTGACCATTAGAATTAGCATTTAACATAATGAGAATATGTAGTTGTTGCTGAACAAAATATCAGAGAGTGAACTTGTTTTTAAACCACAAACAAATTCAAGATGGCTGCCAGTTATTTTAAGATATTCAAACAAACAGGATAATGACTTCTTATTGAACGCTACCTCTGGTATGAGATAAACAAAATTTCAAATTTTTTCTCAGTGTTTTTTTTTATTCATAGAACAGAAACAAATATTAGCCCAGTCACTGTGTTATAAACAGATAATATAAGATCAAGTCAGAATCGACCTGAATTGACCTTCCCAAAAATATGAAAAAAATTACCATTGAGTACATTGTATGAACAATTCTGAGGATGCATAACAAATAGTAGGTAATCTTCTGAAATCACAGAAATATTAATGAATGAAATGCCAATGTCAATATAAATGTATTTAATCTGTTTGATGAGATGTTAGCATGTGATGTGAGTTTATAATAACTGTTATGTATACTTTTAGTATAATTACTATGCCAGTCATCAGTATAATTGTGACGTCAGTATACCATCAGTAAAATTAGAATGGCAGTGATAATGGTCTGTCCTCTATATTAAAAAGTATTAAATTGTGATTTGTTGCTCTGAAATGATGTACTATACGAGGAACACCTCAAATAAGAATTTTCTGACTTAATTCAACCTTATATGCATTTGGCATATAGTTAAAGGCTCCATTACATGCAAAGTTGAAAATATTGTTTGTCATCCAAATATTATACGTTATGACTGAAAGAATTATCTAAAACATGTATTTGAAAAATAAAAAAAATCTACATATAAAGATTATATGGTTGAAAGGATGGGTATCAATATGATGAACTGAATTCAACAATGTTTTTCTCTTAAACCAATTATTGAAAACATTCTGTAAAAAAACACAGTTCTTTATGTTATGTTGACTGATTGGCAACAATTAAATGCGAAAATTATTTATATATATTTTATATAACTGTCTTTGTTAACATATTTTGTTTTTTAGTGCAATTGTTTTTTTTGTTCCTTTCTACAAATTTTTGAGAATGAAACAAAATGTGTTTCCGAACCATATTGGAACAAAATAGCATGTACAACATTTTCTTAGACCTCTTGATATTATAGTTATACAAGGAAATTTCTAAATAGAAATGAGGTTCAGATAGATGTTTCACTTCATTCCGAAAATATGATACCAAGAACAAAAGAAATGGATGATGTGTTTTCTTAAACAATGAAGAGAAAAGTATAAATATATACATATTTCAAATTATAATGTTACCATCTAAATGATGACCATTAAATTGACAATGAGTAAAATTTTCAGAA